AAGTACGGCCGAAAGTGCGCCGCGAACGTGCCTTTAATAATGGAATTTTCACGTGGCCCTCCCTTCGCGTCCGTTCCGCCTCAAAGGCGGTTACACACGATCTGACGCGGCCGCGAACTCTTCCGCGTTATACATGTAACACGTCGATCAACGTGTTACGGCCGCGCGGTAATACACACCGCGCGTTTTCGTCCTACGCCACGCCACGCCCCCGGGGAAACCCGTTGCGTCGATTAACACGACCTCGTGGCCGAAACTTAAAAGGTTCCGCGAACGAGAAGGACTCGCGATCCGTCTCGATTACATTTTCCGAATTCCGGGAATCGATGATCGATGTCTGCGGCGTACTCGCGGCGGCTGGACGATTCGCGTTCGAATTACAATGAATTCTCCCTAATAGACGCTCGAATTGTGCGGAAACATGAACAGTTTGGGAAGAGGAGACGCGATTGTTCGAGCATCGCGGCTCGGTTTTAGAGTTGTTGGCAATCGGTTGCTATAAAGAGGTGCTGCAAGGTTATTATTATTATTACAATTATATTATTATTATATATTGTTATAGTATATATATATATATATATTATTTTTATATTATATGTTATATTTTTTATATTTATATTTGTATATTATTTATTTATATATATTATTATATTATTATTATATATTATTAGATTATTAGATCAGATTACGCGTAAAAATGGACAATTTGGGAAGAGGAAACAGGATTATTCGAGAGGAGATAATAATAACATAGTTATAATAATATATAGTAATAATATAATAATATATATACTCTAATAATAATATATAATGATATGTATACTATAATAATATATAATAATAATGATATTAATATAACTATATTACTAATAATCTTGTAATAATTATAGTAATGTAAATATATAACAATATATATACTATAATAATAATATATAATAATATGTATAATAACAATATTAGTATATTAATAATATCCTTGCAGCTCGTTTTTATAGTTGTTGACAATAGGTGACTATAAAAACGTGCCGCAAGGTTAACATTGATATACTAATATTGTTATTATATATTATTATATATTTACGTTACTATAATATATTATTACTATACATTATAATCATAGTCGTGTTATTATTATCTCCATTTTCCGAATTGTTCATTTTCGCGCAAAATCTGTGCGTCAATTCGAGAGAATTTACTGCAACAGCGAAACTTTCGCGATCATCGAGATACGCGTCCGGAGATTATCGAATAGATCGCGTTTAATCGCTGTAATTTACAGAGCACTAAAAGCAGCTGTTTCATATTAGTTTTGTGAAAGTAACAACGAAAGACATTTATTCTAGTTTGTAATGTCGGACACAATCGGTGCAGGCAATTTTGTTGTTGTTAAAAAGAGGAGTCATTAACGAATGTTGGTAATACGATAGATCGTTATGTTGATCGTATCGTACTGTTATTTATCGTTACTTCGGCTGCAGGAAGGCCAACTGCAGGGATCAGAAGCTAAATGACAGTAATCCCTCGCTTAATAGACGCATTTCTTCCCAGGAATTGTTTCTCTCCATTTACTGGTTCGCAACGCGAACCTTTCTCCTCATTCCGTTCATTCAGAACGTTTCCTGCCGTCGTCTCTGATACTCAAAATGGGCAAGACAACGAACCGAAGATAACAATCGGCGATTCTCGAGAAACCTCTGTCTCACCCTTCGTGATACCCTTGATCCGGGCCCAAATCTGTGCTTTGTAACCGGCTTGCGCGAAGAGTGCATTTCAGAGCGATGCACTTTTATTGTAGCATGTTATGTTCGCTGAGAGAAATGCATTATATTTGCTGAGAAAAATATATTGTGTTTGCTGAGAAAAATATATTGTGTTCACTAAGAAAAATATACTATCATATATTTGCTAAGAAAAATATATTATATTTGCTAAGAAAAATATATTATATTCACTAAGAAATATACATTATATTTGCTCAGAAAAATATATTATATTTGCTGAGAAAAATATATCATATTCACTAAGAAAAATATATTATATTTGCTAAGAAAAATATATTATATTCACTAAGAAATATATATTATATTTGCTCAGAAAAATATATTATATTCACTAAGAAATATATATTATATTTGCTCAGAAAAATATATTATATTCACTAAGAAATATATATTATATTTGCTCAGAAAAATATATTATATTCACTAAGAAATATATATTATATTTGCTCAGAAAAATATATTATATTCACTAAGAAATATATATTATATTTGCTCAGAAAAATATATTATATTCACTAAGAAATATATATTATATTTGCTCAGAAAAATATATTATATTTGCTAAGAAATATATATTATATTTGCTAAGAAAAACATATTATATTTTCTAAAAAATATATATATTATATTTGCTAAGAAAAAAATATTATATTCACTAAGAAATATATATTATATTTGCTCAGAAAAATATATTATATTTGCTAAGAAATATATATTATATTTGCTAAGAAAAACATATTATATTTTCTAAAAAATATATATATTATATTTGCTAAGAAAAAAATATTATATTCACTAAGAAATATATATTATATTTGCTCAGAAAAATATATTATATTTGCTAAGAAATATATATTATATTTGCTAAGAAAAACATATTATATTTTCTAAAAAATATATATATTATATTTGCTCAGAAAAATATATTATATTCACTAAGAAATATATATTATATTTGCTCAGAAAAATATATTATATTTGCTAAGAAATATATATTATATTTGCTAAGAAAAACATATTATATTTTCTAAAAAATATATATATTATATTTGCTCAGAAAAATATATTATATTCACTAAGAAATATATATTATATTTGCTCAGAAAAATATATTATATTTGCTAAGAAATATATATTATATTTGCTAAGAAAAACATATTATATTTTCTAAAAAATATATATATTATATTTGCTCAGAAAAATATATTATATTCACTAAGAAATATATATTATATTTGCTCAGAAAAATATATTATATTTGCTAAGAAATATATATTATATTTGCTAAGAAAAACATATTATATTTTCTAAAAAATATATATATTATATTTGCTCAGAAAAATATATTATATTCACTAAGAAATATATATTATATTTGCTCAGAAAAATATATTATATTTGCTAAGAAATATATATTATATTTGCTAAGAAAAACATATTATATTTTCTAAAAAATATATATATTATATTTGCTCAGAAAAATATATTATATTCACTAAGAAATATATATTATATTTGCTCAGAAAAATATATTATATTTGCTAAGAAATATATATTATATTTGCTAAGAAAAATATATTATATTTACCAAGAAAAATATATTATATTTGCTGTGAATAATACATTATATTTGCTCAGAATTATATTATATCTACTGAGAAAAATATAATATGTTCATTAAAAAGAAATATATTATATTCACAAAGAAAAATATATTATATTCGCTAAAAAGAATATATAATATTGTACCTACTAAAAAAGTACATATCACTAGGCTCGAACCCTTTATTTTTCCTGACAAGGTAGCCAAAGGAACAAATCCGATTATTGTATTTTGTTCTATTTCTTCCGTCAAAGCGAAAAATTCTGGACAATCTAGAGAACGCAGTCAGCGAAACAAATATCTGGGATTTTTTGCCGGATCTCCGAAAGTTTTTCCTGGTTATACTGGATACCGTCAGGCAGAAAACGTTTCGTTTGTTTGTTCGTGACAGAGTTTCGAATGAATATTCATCCAACATCGAGATCATTATTATTATTATTCGTTTGTCGAGATCGTATTATTATTATTCGAACAGAGATTGCAAAATTATTCGAATAATAAAAATCGAATCAGTAAAATCATTTCCAACATGTTAAAATAATTGAAAGAACAAAATACATTTTCAATTAGGATTTCCATTTCCTGAAATCAACATGAAAGATTTCAATTCCGCCCAAAGAACATAATTCAAATAATTCGTGATACAATAAATTCACAATCAAATAATTCGTATAAAAATTGATCAGTCTATTAAAATGATTTCTGCAAGCAAAAGTTAAGAGATCGCAAAATTATTCGAACGGTAATTAGTAAAATCGTCCTTCAACATGTTAAAATAATTGAAAGAGGAAAATACATTTTCAACTAGGATTTGCATTTCCGACAATCGACATAAAAGATTTCACTTCCGCCCGAAGAACATAATTCAAATAATTCGTGATACAATAAATTCACGATCAAATAATTCTTTAAAAAAATTGATCAGCCTATTAAAACGATTTCTACAAGCAAAAGTTAAATAACAATGTCGCGCATTGCAATCCAGTAGAGAATTTCGTAGCTTAACCCTTTGCACTCGAGTGGTGATATTCTGAGGCACTGCTAAAACTCGTTACATTACGTTTCAAAATAATGTTTATATCAACAAAATTTATATTTAAAAAATTGTCCAAAATGGAAATACTGTAAGTCGGAAAAATTATTTTAGATTTACAGTTAAAATGGTTTCGAGTGCAAAGGGTTAATTATCATTTTATATTTGACAAGTATATAGTTAATTATTACTTTATAGTTGGTAAATATAAAGTCAAGTATTACTTTATATTTGACAAGCATACAGTTAATTATTACATTATATCTGACAAATACAAAGTTAATTATTACTTTATATCTGACAAACACAAAGTTAATCATTACTTTATATTTGATAAATATAAAGTCAATTATTACCTCATATCCGACAAATACAAAGTTAATTATTAATAAAAACACTATAAGTTAGAAAAATGATTTTATATTTACGGTTAAAATAGCTTCGACTGCAAAGGGTTAATAAATAAAAATAAAAATAAAAAGGAAAGAAAAGAATGATAAATCTATGATTATTTCGGCCACCGTCGGCCATCCCGTTTATCTACGCAGACGTGTTTACATTTCCCCTGGTTTTCGTTTCGCAGACGACTGTCCGAACTGCGTGGACGAGCAGAGCAGCACTCTGGCCGCCTCAAGATGGACGATGCCGCTGCTGAAGCTCGGCGAGAAGAGATACTACCTGGGGATCTTCTTCAAGGTATCATAGCCGCCAGTTACTTTGATTTATCTAGCTGTCCCGTGGACGCGACCTCCCGGACTTTATCAAATTATTTCCGAGCCTGTAACTTTCCGGCTCACCGTCTCTGACACTTTACGGTGCATCGAATGCCAGACCAGCCTGTTATCGATCTTTTCACCTGACTGGGAGTATCCCCAGCCTCGGACGCACACATCAGCGCGCCCCCGCACACACGCGTGCGCGCGCGCGCGATCGCACCGACGACACCTGTGCACAGTGCGCGCTCGCGCGCGCGCGCGCAGGGGTTTCCGTGCTTTCGTGCGGTGCGAGGAAGAATGCGGAAAAGCGATCTCGTCAAACGGGACCGAGAGCCGACCCCGAGATTCGCGTCGATTCCCCGCGAAGAAGTAAAATCCGGACAGACTATCGCAATTTTACCGCAAGTTCGCATAAATATTCGACGCGGCGCGCTGGCTAAACGCGGCTGGCGCCGGACAACGTGGTCAGGTTGCTCCGAGGAGGGTGCTTTTGAATCAGTTTCGCCCTCGGATCAAGGTCACTGGGTCAATCGTCGCGTATTTTCGAAAACTATTCTTAATTGCGAGTAAATTGATATATAATATACTAGGCGTCCCGTGATTATGTTAACAGACGGGGCGGGATGATTCCTCGGGTTATTTGAAGCAACTTTTTCCTTAGCGGAAATGTTCTGCGAGCCTTCGTTTGCAAGTTATTAAGGAAAAACGATGACCAATGAGAGGCGAGCTCTTCTAGGCGGCGCTAAGCGGCCGAGCCAACGAACGTTCGGAGGCCAGTTCAGCTCATTGGCTCGGCCGCCTAGCGCCACCTAGCGCTGTCTAGAGACCGCCTCTCATTGGTCACGGTTTTTCGCTGATAACTCGCGAACGAAGCCGCGGATTGCATTTTCGCAAAGGAAGAAGTTGCTTCGAATAACCTCGGGAATCGCTTCTTTCCGGGCGTTGGCATAATTATGGGACACCCTGTACTATGAGTAACGGTATAATTAAATTCTTTCAATTTTCGGGCTGTTTTAAATTTTAATCGTCCATTTTTCTCATTAATTCGTGGACACCGCAGCTTAGTCATCCTAACGGTTACCTTAAATGTTCAATTTCAATTTACAATCAATTCAAATCTTTAGTAGATGTATGAAAGCGATATTATTACTTATGAAAATAGTGTTATAATATTTTTAATGTTTAATTTCAAGTTACAATTAATTCAAATTGTTAATAGATTTATAAAAGCAATATTATTACTTATAAAAGTAGTATTATAATATTAAACGTTCAATTTCAATTTTGAATTCATTCAAATTCTTAACAAATATATGGGTAAGGTGTACAAAAATTTGATAACGTAAATCGATAAAGAAATTTATATATATAAAAAAAAAACGTTCGCTAAAGATCTCCATTCAAAATAAAAAAAAAACC